GATGGGGGCCCAGGACCCGGGGGGGGGGTGTGCAGCCGGTGTCTGGGAGCTGCAGAGGGTGGAGGCAGAGCCCAGACGCACCTTTGGCCACATCACTGATGCGGTACTTGTAGTCCTCGTGGCCACAGGTCCAGGACATGTCGTCCACGGTGAAAGACTGGTTGGAGCGCAACATGATGACCTCAATGGCACTTGACTTCAGCAGTACAATCTGGTCCTCAGAGGTGAGGTCTCTGCCAGGGAGAGCAGGAGTGAGGGTCAGGTTATTGGTCAAGACCTTCAAGTCATGCAAATCAGTGTTGTGTGTTTTCAGGTCTAAAACTGCCAGGTGACCAGTATGGGTCCTGGATCCTCCATTGAGGAGCTTGCAGTCTGGTTGGAAAGAACAAGACTGTTTCTTGAGGGAGAACAACTCAGGACTGTATGTCAAGGTGAGAAGTGAAGTAGTTCAGTCACTAAGGCAAGGAAAACCCAGTGATTTGCCAAGGTCTCTCAGGCCTAAGCAGACAGAGCTGTATTAGGGACAGAAAGACAGAGCCTGAGGAGGTTTCCAGGGTTATAGCATGAATGTGGTGGTCTACGAAAGGTATGGCCAGAGTCATCTTCAACAGCTCTCATGCTTTTTTCCCCTCTTCCTCCTCCTAAGGCTCAGCCAGCTCTGTCTCTGGGACATCTCTGGAACCCTTGCTCTCACTCTCACTCCCGTCAGGACTTCTCTGGTTCAGAGCTCCATCATCTTTTTCAATTGCCTCCTACTAGAATCCTGGAGTCAAGCCTCCCAGGTCTCTCATTCATCTTTCTTATTGCCGCTGCAGAGAAGTATAACATTTGTGTTCTCAGAAATCTTTACTGATTATCAAACACCCCAGGATCAAGCCTCTACTCCATTACTTGGCTCCAACCTGACTTTCCAAGCCCTCTTCCCATTGCAAACTTCACCAACCCTCCTTCTAGCAACTGTGGACTACTCCACATCCAAATGCTATGTTCTCATGTCATCATGCCTCTGAATTTGCAACAGCTGCAGCCAAGAATGCCTTTCTTCTTCTCGTCCATGTTGTCTTTCTGGTCCTGAATTCGATGAGGTTTCCTTTGGAGCCCCCCAGCCTTCGATTCTCTTCAGCAGAATTAGAGCCATTTCATTACAACCCCATGAGCATTGCTTATACTCCTATTTTACCCTTAGCTCTTCAGCTCTGTTTTTTAAATACTCGCTCTGGACCTTAACTCTAAGCTATGTGAAGGCCAGCACCACCCATTAATTACCTTAGTGTTGCCATATACCGATCACTTAGCCCTCAGCACCACGAGAGGGTCAATAAATATGTGCTGATGAGTCAAAAAGCCAATGACTAGTTCCACTATTCTGAGTCACGAGCTGGGCTTGTCTGAACAATGACAAAGAAAAAGCAGGGCCCGCAGATCAACCTGCTTCTGGTTTTCCCTCCTTCTCTTCCTGACTGTGTCTTGCTGCCTGGATATTCTGTCATCTTCTCTGTGGTTGCTCTTTGGTTCATAAAGAAATGATTAGGATGAACAGCAAAGGGTCTGCTTTGGAAAAAAAAAAAATCACAAAGTGCTAGAGTTGGAGGGCACCCCTGAGAGGCTCTATGGTCCACTTCCTTCTTCAGCATTCCTGACACATGGCTCTCGCACAGCCTCTGCAGGATCCTCCCAGTGCCAAGGAGCTCACGGTCTCTGGATACAGCCATGAGATTGTTCGCTCTTAGTGAACAGCCTCTTCTGCTACTGAGCTATAACCTACGCAGGGACACACGCAGCCATCGTTTATACTTCTGTCTTCTCAGGGAACACAGAATCAGATCACTGCATTAGCCAAGGGCAACCCCTTAACCACCATTTAAAGAAAGCTACCGTGCACCTCTTGCATCTTTTCCGGGAGAGACAGTGTCTAGATGCCCCCATCATCCTGGTCACTTTTCTCTAGACGTTCGACCCACATTTTAAAAAACAAAAAGTAACATCGCTCTCACTTGGGGTTTCATTCATTGTACGAGTAAAACATATTCATCATTAAATCTTTGGAAAATACAGAAAACATAAAAGCAAAAAAGAATTACTCATAACCACAATAGATATTTTGGTGTATTTCCTTCTTATCTTTTTTCTATGCAAATATTTTCTCTTTAAAAACATACTCAAATTCACAGTAATTCTGTCCCACTTCTTACATCGTTAAAATGTCTTTATCCCAGTTTATAGAGGGTTGCATAATGTTACATCATGTCAACATATTATAAGTTATATAATCAATCTCCTATAAAACTATTTTGGGAAATTTTGGTTGCTTCTAATTTTTGCTATTATAAGTAATTTCGTGAGGATTACCTTTGTACATAACCCTTTCTTCAATGGCTCACTCAAAATGGATGGCTGGAAGTGGTCAAACATCCCATGGGTGCTTGGTGAAGGAGATTTCAGGGGACCACTGCTTATCGTGATCCAAACATACAACTTCTATAAAAGCAAACCTCGAGTAACCTTGAATTATCGCCCATGGACTGGAAAGATGGGGAATTTCTAAGTGCAGCTCACAGCCAGAACTGAGATTGATGGGGGGTGGGGGTAGAGGTGGAGAAACCCACAAGAGACCTTGTTCCAGCTCTAGCTCTGTCTTGCTCTCTGGATCTGTGAAATATTTACACTCTTATCAGTTTTCATGCCTATGGCCACTTCTGGGCAGTTGCGATGTGCTCTGGAAATGTGTACCTGTCTCAACGTTCCCATCTCCCCAGGCAGACGTCAGCCCCTCCCCACCTGTATTCCCACAGTCCTCTAGCAGGCCTCTCTTAGAGCTCTTATCTCTTCACGGCAGTTGCTCACATGTCCATCTCTTCTGTCAGGCACTAAACCCTGGAGACCAGAGACTTGTGTCCTTGTTAACTTTTATCTCTCACAGTTTGTGTAAGAAAGTGGTTGGTTGGATAGATGGACAAGTGAATACAGAGGAAAGGGGATGGGAGGAGGGAAGCAGGCCTTTGACTCAGGCCTCTGGCCCAAGAAAGAGCCCCTGGGAATGGAAATGGCAGTGAGGTTGAAGGAATTTAGGCCAGAGGGCTGGGCTCCAGCCGATTTGGCCGGGTGCCCCTGTGCACCTCTTTTGGCAGTGAAACCTGTGGTCCTTAGTTCTTAGACCCAAGACTGTTCCTGGCCATTTAGATGCTGCTCCTGGCCCCAGTTTCTCCATGTATTTCTTTTGGAGCACTGAGGGAGGGAGATTTGCAGGGTGCAGACTGAGAGTCTGAGGGACGGGAGACAGGAGTCAGGAGCAAGGCCCAGGCCATGCCACGGTGCAGTTCACACCCAGCATCGTCCATCCAGCCCTGCCCCACTTTGGTCCTTTGCCCACATTGGAGTCTCATCCTATTCCCCCCACCCCTCTTTCTCCTACATCCTTCCCTCCCCACACCCTCCACCCCACCTAGAGTCAGCAGGATCAAAGCCACCAGGGACACAGCCAATGTTCTTTTACTTCTTGGAAAAACAGAACCCCTAAGTGCAGAAACCGGCAGAACCAGAGAGCTGATGGGCTGGCTCTGCCTGGATCTCACTGGACCCTGGACTCTGGCCCCAGTCCAGGCTCAACATCACCTCTGTCCAGTCACAGAGAGTGTCCACATCAGTGTCCCCTCAAGAGCTCTTGCCAAGGCCTGCATCATCTTTACTAGATCATTCTGCTCTGGGACTTCTCAAATTATGCTGAAGAGAGAGTGGCCAATTGAAGCAATTTTGCATCAATAACTGGGCAGCTCCAGTACCTGCTTATATACATGTCACTTTGGCCATGATTGCAGGGCTAGATAGACTAGGGAAATAAGGCTCGAAAGGGAAGGAAGGGGACAGACTTCAGCTCATCCTTGGGGAGAGAAATTGAAGAGTTAGTAGTGAAATCTGTATCAGGGTATATGTGTCGAGGGTAAGGGGTAGGGGCCGAGAACTTGGGAGAAAATTGGGGGCTTGGGTTACTTAATGGAGGAGGCTGCAATGGGGTAATCTGGTTAAATGAGTGACTTTTTGTTTTTTTAGGACAGTTTTCCCTCATGTGCAATCTCAACCACCACTTAGAGTCACCAAACCTTAGCATCTGGACAGGGCGTCAGCTGCCCTCTCATCTCACTCCCCACTAGGAAGGGAAGGATGGACGCTGCATAGATGAGGACTGTGCCCTGGAATTAGGATGGAAGCCGAGTACTACCGTGTGTCCACCGGCACCTCGAAGTGGATTTTTTGGTCCAGGTTTTTATGTAAAATAAGACTTAGGGACACATAGAGTTTGCAAATAGTAACATGAAGAGTTGAGGAGTAAATTGGAACTTGTGCTAAGTGGAATGTGTTGTCCACTCTAAGGAAAGGCTCTAGAAGGTAAAGCACAGGCCCAGTGCAATGGACATTCAGATCTTGCTCCTGCCTGCCCACCAGAGTGGCCCCTACTCCTTTTGCTGCAACCAACATGTACAATGCAGTAAGCGTCTCATCTCTGTTTGACGTTTTTCTCTTTTTTACAGTTTTCACATTAATTCCGGGGGAAGAGCATTGGAGAGGCCCTGGTATTTGGGCTGGTGAGAGCCATAAAATAACACAGAGTCAGTTGTCTCAGAGCAGAAAAACTGTGAACTGCTGGGTTTAGCTCTGTGAATTACCATCATTTAGCTGGTAATGTGGTAATTTAGATAGTAACTGATGGCTTTCCTACACAGCAGAGAGATTTACAAAACAATAAATGACAACTCTTATTAGCTTCCATCCAAAGCTGGCCCATGTCAAATCGTTTTCTGGCTCCCAATATTCCAGCACTGAATCTGAGCATCGGTATCTAGGAGGCATTCTGCTCCCGCTGCTGTAATTGCAACTATTGCCACTATTCGAAATGATAATATCGCTTGATACGGATTTATTTCTTTCAATCGCTCAACTACATTGTATACGTATTTTATGGCAATGTTCCAAATGAACTTTTAGGAAGCATGAGGATAGAAAGATACATATTATAGATATAACTACCTCCCAACATACTTACTAAAAGTGTCAGTTTTTAACTATTTTAAGACTATTTGATACCGCTTGACTCTTTAAGTATTATACGTGCCATTATTACTAAAACAATGAAATATTTGAGTGAATAAATAAAATTTGTATAAATAAATCCATAATAGAGGATCTCTACTTCTTATACTTATCCATTTGGGCAAAAAGGTCTCAACATAGTTAGTAAATGGCCTTGGGTGAAGGGTAAATTGGGTCAAGGATGCTGGGCATACATAACCTGGGTTATATATGCCAGTAAACCTGTCTCCCTCTAGGGCTCCTAAATGACTTTACAAGTCTTCATGCCCAACCCTTCTCCTCTTCACCGCTTCATCCTGGTTTTAGAATTGAGCGTGGAGGATTAATGTAGGTTTATTATAAAGGCATCACATGAGGATTAAATCCAAGCCAGCTGGAGTAGACATAGCAGTAAACTAAAAGTTCCAGACCTGGCTCTGACACACTAGCTCCAACATTAGAAATCCTGGCATTGGCCATTAAACCTTTCTGGGCTTTTGTTTCATCATCTAGAAAGTGTGAGGAATGAATAGCTCTTTAGGGCTAGCCTGCCCGGTAATGCTGGATGGGCTGCACTTCCTAAAATAGATTCATGGGCCTACCCCAGAGATTCTGATTTAGGAAGTCTGAGATAGGGCTTGACTCTCTATTTTGAGAAGCAGTGTATTGATGATCTCTGAGCCTTCTCCAGCTCACTCTAAGATTCTGACTCTGATCCCCAGATGTCCCAGAAACTTCTTACCTGAACCCTGGAATCATCTTGGCAAAGCCAATGACCTTTTGGATGCTATAACTGACCAGGTCAGCCAGGTGGGGCAGCATGGAGAGTTGAGACAGGTCCAGGGTCACAGAAGGATCATTCGAGGCTTCTTCCCTTGGATCCAGGTTGGAGAAACTGGTCGGGTCCATCACTACTGGAGAAGGATGAGGTAACAGAAAGAACTACTTAAGGACACTTAAGCCAGGCTTCTTCATCCTCGGCCCCGTGAAGACTGCCTACTCCCCGGCAGCTGGGCCAGCTGGAAATCCCACAATGATGGCCTCTTTCCAAGGTCACCCTTCAGCCCAGGCTTTCCTCTAAGAGTAGGGGAGTAAAATCAGAGATCAGAGATGTCCCAAAAAATGAGACTTCCTCAAGCCACGATTTTATGTCCCCACATGTTGTTCCTAATGATCCCAAATCAAAAATAAATTTTGAACCAAAAAACTTGTACAAAACAATGTTCGACCTCACTACTGATCAAAGAACTGCCAAGTAGAACATCTACACTTTCACCTGTAAACTAGAAACAAATATGCATAAATGTTGACACCAGTGTTTGTAAAAATACAGGGAATTAGACAATCTTTGTGCAGTGCTGGAGCACTGAAGAAGGTGTAAATCTTCGCAAGTCATCTAGAAAGCTATTTGACAATAGGGATCAACAACCTGCAATTATGTATACTCTTTGACCAGTAATGCCACTTCCAAGAATTGATCATACGGAAAACGTTTTGAATAACTGCAAATATTTGGCTACAAGAATTCTGTTATCTTAATGAAAAGCTGGTAAACAATCTAGATATCCAACGATAGGGGATTTAGATATGTTATTATACATTCATGCCCCAGAATACTATGCAGCCTTTAAAAATGATATTCTGGATGTACACTGAATGACATGAAAATATCATACAATGTATTATTATGAGAAAATAGCAAATTACCAGACTGTGTACAGCACAACTCCATTTCTGAATATACATATGTGTTTTAAAAAATAATGGGAAAGTGATCATGGTGTTAACAGTAATTATTTCGGGGTAGTAGGATTAAAGATTTTATATATATAATTTAGTTTTTATTTTTTTAATGTCTCCAATGAACGTGTACTACTTTTGTATAATAATTTTTTTAAATTAAAAATGTTAACTAGTTTGGATTTTTAGATAAATATATGCTCTACTGAACATACTGTTGGTGGGGGTGAGCACTTCAAATCGATGCACCTATGAGCAGGTATCAAAACTCCTAAATAATATGGGTTTATTATTAAAAGCTGAAGTACAGACCAATGTATAACATGTAGATTGATCCTTATTGATGCAAGTGAATACAGCATCCAATGAGAAAATTAATACAGGGAGAGATCCCCAGATGAGGGGCTGGGAGGGTCAGTTAATCCATGTAGTGGTCACTGCAGGTGGGTAGACACAATGTCTGGCTCCACTGCTGTCTCTGTCCAGTTGGCACTGGGACCCCTGCCACCTATTCTGGATCTGGGCAGAGATCTATCGATGAGTCTAGAAGTACTTTATCTGAGGGTTATAGTTCCCCAAAGGGGAGGGGAGGCCCCTAGCAGAGGGCAGCAAGGTTGGGGTTGGGTGACAGGTAGATGGATGAAAGACAAGGGTAGGAGGAGGATGAGGCAGGAAGATGAAGAGGAAGGTAGAAGAGAAGCAGTAGAAGAAAAGCAAGGATAAGCTAGAGGGCCTTAGTGGTCCCCCAGGACTCCAGGGTACAGTGGGCTGCAGTGGGATCCCCATGTTCTCCTTCCACACCAAATCTCCCCTTTCAAAGGGCTCAGACTCTCATACAGTTTTGTATATTTGAAAATTGTTCAAAATTCTCATCACAAAGAAAAATAATCCTTGTAACTGTGTGAGGTGATGGGTGTTCATTTCGCACCATATACATATATCAAGTCATTATGTCGTACACCTTAAATTTATACAATACTATCTGTCAATTATATCTCAATAAAACTGGAAAAAAACAAACAAATAAAATCCCCAAAGGGCCCAGGCTCAAAATACCATTTAGAGGAACCAGGTCACTTCCAGGCAGGGAACCAGAGGCAGAAGCCTGGTTTAGAGGGAAGAGCAGAGGTGCTGAAAGCAGACCCTGCCTGGAACCCCAGCTTGGCCTCTTCCCCCGTATGCGTGCTTGGGCAAGTTCCACCACTTCCGTAAAAAGGAGTTCTAAGGACTCGGTGTCACCCACAGTGTGTAAGTGCCATCCTCTCATCCGTAGCCTAGGATGGGCAGGTGGGAAATCTCTGGGCTGCTCTCCCCTGCTCACTAGGGAGGGAGGCCTGCAGTCCCACTTACCTGGGGTGGAGGTGTAGTGATCTGAGCAGGAGGAGGACGAGTCCCCAGATAAGCTGGTCATGTGTTTCAAGGAGGGCTTTAGCAAATGGCTGTCTCCACTCTCGTCTCCGCGAACCGGAGGCTGGAAGGGAAAGATGGAGTATCAGAAGCTCACGTTTCAGGGCCACCTTCTTACCTTGGCCCTGATCTCTGACAGGAGTGGCTTCAAGGAAGTCCTATGGGACGGGGAGGCCTCCCTGAAGTGAGAGGGACAGAGAAGCCTCCGTCCCTTCCTGATTCTGTGCCTGAATGCCCTGGCCCTCTGTCCCACGCCCCATGCCTTGGCTCCCCTTGTGGCTCATCTTTCCTGACCAGCTGGCAGACGTACCCGGAACTGGCTGAAGTCGGAATAGGTGGGGTCGAAGGTCTTGTGGTGGGCGTCCAGCAGGATGGTAATAATGCGCTGCTGTTCCTCAGATAGCCGGGGCCGCAAACTGTCCTTCAAAGCTTCCTCCTCCTTCCTCTTGAGGATCATCTCCCGCTTCCGCTGCACCTCTTCATCTGTCAGGATGACTGCAGGCAGGAAGGGGGCATCAGAGAGGCTGGGCTGGCGGCTCCTCCAAGAAACATTCCTCTAAGCACTAAAGGCATAAGATAGGAGGGCTGTGCCCCCAACACTCAGAGCTCACTGGGGCCTTCCTGCCTCAGAGGACTCCAAGCTCACTCTATAGGTAGAAAAATTGGATTTTCTATGTTGAAAAGGCAGGTGCATAACAGAGGAGGAAAAAGAGGATTTGAGAGGTGGATGGTCTAGGCATTAGGGAGGCCGAGTTCTCACACACATGTTGTGTGACTCTGGGCAAACTGGACTCTCTGGGCTTTTGTTCTCTTGTTTATAAAATGAGAAGGATGGACCATTTAATCTCTTCTAAGGTCCCTTTTTTGTTCCTTCTTCACATAAAGTGTGTCAATGTGGGGCGATGGAGTGATAACATTTACTCAAAAGATGGACTGACTGGAGAACTGAATGCAGTGCATGCCTAGCATGGAGCAGCAGCTCGTTCAACATTAATTCTTGCCTCTTCTCCTCCCTCCCCATATTCCCTGACTCTGAGGGAGACATCAGGGGGAAGAGAGAGAGGAAGAGTCACTGTGTGGTTAGTCTCAATGTTGGAAGTTAGGAGATGCTGAGAAGACCCCTCTACACAGCCATTCCCGCATCCAAGTTGCCAGGCATGGAACTCAAGCCTCTGATCTATTCTGACCAACAAAGAAAGACTTTTCCTCTTTGATTCCCTGCAAAACAATACCTCTTCCAGCCTGTCCAGTCTTGAAATTTCTGCCCAAGGAAGTTTTTGAGTTCTCTGGAAGTCCCTGATGATCACAACTCACAGCTTTAATCTGGGAAGTTCTCTTCAGCTGCTAGCCAGGTGTCTGAAGATGGGAAGACCTTAAGCCCCCTTCATGCTGTGTAGGGCCTTTGGGTGGTGCTGGGGCAGCTGCCCAGGAAGGCGGGGCTGGGAGCAGGGATGCCTGGCACAGAAGCCAGGCAAACAGACATCTTGGCTGGGGCTTGCACAGAGCTGACGGCAGGAGTGGGCACTGGGGCCCTTGGCCTGTAGATACTTGCTCTGTGCTGGTATTGCCAGGGCCTCTGCCCACAGAAGTGAGGAGTTTCACAAGAGCAGGGAAAGGAACCAGAACCTCAGAGTGGGTGGGTTCCAGGCTTCAAGAAAGGCCCACTGGCCTGGGTGCCTCAGGTGGGAAGAGGACAAGAGAAGTTGATAGAGGGTGGGGAAGAGCCTCTGGGAGTAGGAGTGGGCAACCAGAGCCTCAGACACAGCAGGAAAAGGAAGCCTGCAATAAAAGATGGCGCGTTCCCTCCACAGCTGAAGTAAGCCATACCAAGAGGAAGACTGGGAGAAGGCCACACCCAGGTTACTGACTCACAGGCCCGAATTGCTGGAAACCCTCCTCCCACAGAAGTGTCTGTTCAGACCCCAAAAGGTCAAGTAGGGTGGGAGAGGAAGGAGCAGGGAGCATCCCGATCAAGGCAGGGTGCAAGGCGCTGACCTGGAGAACCCAAGATTAGGTGTCTGGTTTTTCCTGCTCACCCAAGGGGTGGGCAGAAGAGGTAATGAGACTGGAGCTAGAGGGGGCTGGCTCTGCCGGTCACGCCACGGGTATCCGCAGGTTTGAACCACCTCTCGTGGTTCTGTGATGTCACTCTCCTGCTCAGAAACTTTTCCTGGATCCATATTGCTTACTATGTCCAAACTAAAGTCAAGATTCTCCATGATTTTGCTTCCTCCTAACTTTTCAACCTCATTTTTCAATGCCTCTGGATGCAGCTTCTGCTTTAGTCATGTTGAGATTGCTGATCCGTGAACGTGACCTGCACTCTAGCTACCACATTTCCACTTGTGCTGGATACCTGTGCAGCTGGCTCTTCTTTCCTCAATAGCTGTGCAAGTTCTATCTATTCTTCAGCACCCAGTTTACAGCCGGTTGTCTTTTATCAATTAGGCTTTCTTGAACACCTCGATCTGCACTGAACTCTCATTTCTTATTTCCATGGGATGTCTAGTTTTTCCTACACATATTGGTAACCAACTGTCTTCCACTCTGTAATATTTATGATTAGTACAGTTTTCAATAAAGGCTCTATAGAAAGAGCCTAAGAAGTTCAAGGTATCCTTCACTAGAACTGTGGCCATGTAAGGGCAGAGGCCACATCTTAAAATTCCTGTGTTTCCCCCACATAAGCCAGGCCACTGGGGCTTCCTGGCCATGATGCCTGCTCAATAGCCTGATAGATTAGACACTTAACACATCAATACTTCTTGTACCTACTACACACTCACTAGTCATTGTCCTAAGGTCAGGAAAGAACAGCAAGAAGTATGCCAACAACGCACGTACGGTACAATGTCAGTAACGGCACACACAGAATGCCAGGCCACCGGCTAACTGAGCCAAGCTTACCTTTTTAACTTAAATAATTGTTATTGAAATACTTTAAAGACAGAATATCTGTAACAGAACACCTGTAACATCATGTAACCTTTTCTTGATGATTCAGAAGCAATCATTCAGAACAGTTAGTAGACTTTGCAGGAACAAGGTTATGACCTCAGAATTATATAGGGCTGTTTTCCTGTACTGTGTGACTCAGCCAGCTATGATTTTGAGTTCTTGTGCTACTTTCACGGCTTTCGGTCTCCCTCGCTCCATTAAGCTATGTGTTGTGGTGCCTGTCCCTCAATGTGTGCCTTTCTCGCCTTTAACAGAGTTACTTCAAATCTGTTGGAGCTGGAAATGCCGGAGATTAAGTGTTATGTAATTAAAAAAATAGTGTTAATAAAAATAGATAAAAAGTATAGAGTTTTTTATGTATCAAGCACGATTCTAAGTGCTTCTGCTATATTAACATACATATATTTAGTCTTCATAACAACCATTTAAAGCAGGTGCTATTATCCTCATTTTGCAGATGAGGAAACTGAGGCCCAGAGGCTACATACCTTGCTCAAAGTCACAGAGCTAACAAGTGGCGGAGCTGGTATTCAGGCCTGGCTAGTAGGTTCTAGAGTCCAGGGTAGTAACCATGACCCCATACTGCCTTTGATTAGAATTGGCTGTGACTGCTCAGTAGGACCCTGGTCCTCAGCGTGGAACACACACGATGTTCCAATTCATCCAAAGAGTGTGAAAAATTAAATAAAGTAGCAAAGCTTGTAAATGATTTCCTTTGAAAGGACAAAGTTAAGAAGATTCAAGGTTAACCTTATGACACTTCCCCTGGATCACTTGTATCAGATAGCGACCTGCTGGGATCTACTGATTTCAAACAGGGGCCACCAACCAACCCATTGGCCTCCCGCCAGGCCACACTGTGTGGAGACTGAATAAGTCGTAAGTCTCTCACATATACAGATGTTGTGATTTATGAAAGAAGTCATTTGTTTAAAGGGGTTATTAATTTCATAGGAGACTTTTTAAATCATTTTCTCAATGAATTGCTATTAAAAATGCCATTACTATCATGTAGGAGGACACAGGTTTTTAAGTTAAAAGCCGCTGACCTAGATAGAATATGAGCGAACAGGTTCTGAAAGAGCATTTAATGGGCTCTCTTCTCTGATGGATGAAGTGCATGGTTTGAGGGATCTTCCTGAGCTATAGACCAGTGGAAGATGTAGAGATACAAAGATGCATAATGAGGAGCTAATATTCCATCATTCGACACATTTATTGAGCACCTACTACGCGCCACGTGCTGTGCTAACCCTGGGTAAAAAAGATGCATATCTGTAAAAACATGAAACAAGTTAACATATAGGTGGTTCTGCGCAGAACAGGTCTAGAGAAGCAAGAGCTCGATTATGAAATTTTGGGGCCCTAAGGACATAAAGTCAAGTAGGACTTGAAAGGGAAAAGGAGTCTTCAAAGGGAGCAAAGCTCTCTTCAGCCCCTCCTGTGGGGCCCAGGCAGTGCCTGTAAACGCACGATGGAGGAGCTCTGGCCCACTGCGGGTGCCTGAGGGGCTGTGCTGGGCTGCAGCCCACAGGCCTGGTTTTGGCAACAGACAGGCCTAGGTAAGAATGCTGATACCATCATCCTACTAGCTTAGGGGCATGATATTTTAATTCTTCTGAGTTTCTTCAGGAGGATTTTTAAAAGTATTTACATATTTAGGGATTGTTGTAAGAATTTAACAAGAAAATACGTAGGCCTGACACACATCTGGCACTCAGTAGCTGGTCAATAAACGTTCCCTCCCAGGCTCATCCCTTCCTCCCTCCCATACTGTCTCCAGGAAGGGACCAGCTCCTTGCCCCACAGAAAGGCCCTGGATTTGTAGCTCCCTTCATAGGGAGCCCTGGGTGTGTCTCATGGTTTACAAATGCTGATACTCAGTTGTCTCTAGGATGCTAGGCCTGGGGGACAATAGACAGCCGAGGGGATAAATGAGCAGCAATCCTAGGGATATGAGCCTGGAGCTCCAGACCCAGACACACTGACAGGCCTCCCAAAGCTGGGCTGACCTGAGGCAGGGAACCCCAGCTATCCCTGGAAGACTTTCCCTTCAGGGCAGCGGGCCAAGAGCTTAATGCTGGACCAAAGTTTATTTTAACTGGAGCTCTGGGGCCCAACCTTAATTCAGTGCAGCTCCTTGCACTGGCATCTGGAGAGTGGTGGGCACAGGGCTGTACTAGGCATATAACAGGACAGGGGACACGGGACTCTATCGGGGAGGACTAAGGCTGGGGTTGGGGTGGCTGAGACACAAAGCTGATTGGGGGCTGGGGGCTGGGCATCCACTTCTGGATGACTAGCCCCCCACAACATGGTGTTCCTGGGGCAGGAGCACCCTGATACGCTCAAGGTCTGCTCATCACCAGGGATGCAGTGCTCTCTGTGGGCTCCGGGAGGGGTCTAGAAGGGGACACGGAGTTGGATTCTCCTCTCACCTTGCTTTCTTATTCCAGCCCTGATATTTTTACCTTTCTGGGTCTCAGATGATTTCTAAGCGTTCTTCCTGTTCTAGGTTGACAGAATATCTCCTTTCTCCTAAGACACAGGAGAGGGGCCTCTGGGACTTCAGTGAGGCTGGCCCTGGCCAGAACTCCTGTGGTCTTAGTGAATCCCAGCGGTGTTATTCTGTACCATTCTTGGTTGGCTGGAGCCTTAGAATCCAGGCTCTCTGCCCCTTGGAGGCTATGCCCTCTGCGAGGACAGGAACAGGGGCTGTGTGCTCTGCATCTGGTTTGCGTCCAACCTAGCGTCTCACAAGGAGCAGGCCTCATTAAGCCAACGTGTGAGAAGCTCCAGGAGGCACCCAGGCCTTGAGCCTCCACCACTCCAGGATAAACACAGGAGTCGGGTGGGGCAGGGGATGGGGCACGAAGCGATCAGCGTGTCTGGGCCTGCACACTCGCGTGGGGGCGAGGAGGAACACAGCCTGGAAATTTCTTCTAGGGCTGCCAGCGTTGGCTGAGGGGCTGGGATCAGGCGTGAGGGGCCGAGACCCACCAGAGGGCAGCCTGTTGAGGCTCAAGGACAAGGCCTCAGGAGAAGGCCTCCACTCTGTCTCTGTTTCCCAACAACAGAGAATTTTTTTCCATCAAGGAAGAAATTTCCCATCCCCTCAGCCCTAACCCATGACGTTTCCCTTGTTCCAGACACATCTTCCCCATACCTGCACTGTCTCCCCTTCGAACAAACAAACAAACAAAACAAAACAAACAAACAAACAGCTCAGTAGGCAGGAGGGCCTTCGGGAGTGCCTGATCTGAGCACCCCTCCTGAGCTTCCTCAGGCCCTCAGCTTAGCAGGGCCTAGGCCCAGTCTCATGGCCAGGGAGGAGGTCAGAGTGCAGATTACAGAAAGAAGTGAGCAAGGGGCAGAGCAGGGGCTGAATGTACAGAGGGCACCCATGCTCAGGCTGGTCTAGTGGCCCTGCTTTAAGCCCCTGGATGGCCTAGCTAGCCCCTCCCAGGATCTGCTGAATTCAATGGCTACTCTGGTTACCAAGTAACTGGTCCTAGAGCTCAGATACAAAGTCCAGGGGTCAGAACATGTGAAACTGCCCTGTTGGTCCTCTCCTCCAACCCCAGAGCTGGACAGGAAGTCCTATAAGATTGCCTCTCTTTTCTCTGTCTGGATCTAGAGGGTCATCTGAGTCCAGTGCTTCCTCTCACATAATTTTTCCACCCAGTCTCCCCTGGGCACCAGCCTTCAGATCTGCCAGCGTCGCTGGAAGGCTGGGGTGGGGCAGAACCTGGATGCCAGCCAAGCTCTGAATGTATATTCTCCCCACCATTCTTCCCCTCCCCAACCACAGCAGCTCCCTCTCCCAAAGGCTAAAGAATGCTGGGGTCCTTGAGCCTCATTCTTTCTCCTCAGGTCCAGGGGACAGGGAGGTGTGATCGTAGTGATGATATCTTAGAGGAAGATTGACCTAGGGGCTCATGAAAGCAGTGCCTGGCCTCTCCTTCCTCACTGGCCTCACACTTGGAGGGGCTCTTCCGGGCCTCTGAGACACATTCAGATTCTAGATTCTAGAGAGGCTCTCAGGACCCCTTGGTGCCTTTGACCCTTGGAGTTCTGGCCACCTTCCTCAGGCTGCTGGCCCTGGATGCTGGCAGCTACAGAAGAAGGGTGGGCACACCTCTGACCAAACTTGCATTAACAGCAGCCAGAGCCTCCCCTGGTCTCAGTCTCCTCCTAACCCCCTGGCCTGGCCCCTGGATACTCACACTCCTTCATCATGCCAATGTCCACACAGCGCTTGAGGCGGCAGGCCTGGCAGTGGCGGCGGTTGTCCTTGGTGATGTGGCAGTCCCCGTTGAAGGGACAGGTGAACAGCGCCTTCCGCTTCATGCTGCGCCTGCCAAGAGAGCACGCCCCGTCCATTGGGTCACCCACCTTCCAGCTCCTCAGCCCTGATGGCTGGAGAATGGCCTGCAGGGGCTGTGACCCCAGGGACATACATGCCCACGAAGCCCCTCACTCTCCATTTCTCCCACAGAGGACTGGGGCTCATCCCTGCCCCTGGGCCACTCTCAGCGACCACCATCCACCACTCCCCCGTGTGCCCCAGTCACATCCTCCTCCCCCTTCACTGTCGCTTGCTCCCATCGTTGCTTTTGTAGTACTCTACTCCCCATTCTTTCTTTAGTTATACAAGAAATATATGAGTGAATTAGCCTAGCAAATATGTTGCAAGATACTGAAAACTGCAAAGTAGCCCTCACTGCTATTCAGGAGCCATTATGAGAGGAGAGGGTGCTAGTCTCAGCCTTAGCTTTCTAGAGTCAAGAGATCTGTGACTAGAGCATCCCCGATCCAGGGACAGACATGTGACCAGGTGCATGGAGAAGGGAGAAAAGGCCCAGCCATAGCTTTGAACATCTAGAGAACCTGTCCAGGAAGAGAAGATGCCAGAAGAGCAAGTGGGAACCTCGAGGTCTGGCCTAGGCTTTCTGAAAGGCAGAGGAAGCATGGATTCTGTAGGAACAGAAAATTGTCAAAGATTCTTAACTAGGAAGCAGCTTCCCCTCCCCGCCCCCCATATCCACTGTCAAAGAGTGTGTGTGTGTTAGTTCATTTTCCTAATTCTGGCTTCCTCTCTTGCTGCCAGCCACGTCACATGGGACGCTGAGAGGCTGTATAAAGGACCCCTCCCCAGAGGCTCCCCATCATTCATGTCCTGGAGGCTTCTACTACTCTCTCCAGCCCTGGCAAAGGGAGGCCCCACTTTTTAGCCCTAGGACAGGTGACAAAATTTAGCTGGGAAAAGATGATGGCAGAATCACTTTGTCTGTGAGCAGTAGCATCTTCCAAAGAGCTGTGGAGGGGCCTAAGCTTTAGAAGCAAAGGCCCAGGCCGAATCTTTTCCTTTCCCAGAGATGAGCTGGTGATATCATCTTCTTCAGATGCCACACACTCATTATGTTTCTTGGTGAAAAAATGACTTACTGTTCACATTCACGAGAAGAAACATAGGGTTCAGGACAAACACACTCATCAGTCGACATGGACAGATGGGGACCAAAACAACCTGACCCATGGGATGGGGAGAAGAAGCCAGAGGAACGGCTCTGCTGGCAGTCACAGGCAATTAGACTCTAAGATCCTTAGGGGACCCAAGAGACCATTGCTGTACTCCCTCATTTTATGGATGATACCACTGAAGTAAAGAAACTTATCAGTGAGGCGATTCGGCAAGAAGCGAAGGCTCCCAGTTTGAGATCCTTAAAGATGTGAAGCCCAGCTTTTAGCTTCCTGGATTGAACGTATTGTTGCAACGCCAGAAACTCAAGGTGCTCAGTGAGGACAAGTCCACGGGCAGACGGCTCCAGGCAGCTGGCCCTTGAGCATAGCTCAAAGCGAAGGACAGCTTAGTGGTCCAGGAAGTAACTGCTACTGGATTTGGATCTTGGCCCCTGTCCCTGCCTCTCACAACCCTAATTACCCAAGGGGACAACCACAGACTGGGCTATACAGGGAAGTGAAGTAGCCTAGACTATGGGGAGTAGTCTAGCCCTGAGTCCAGTCCACCAAAGGCCGCGTCCTGCCCCTGCGGTGTCTTCCCAGGGAGAGACTGTATACCAGGCTTTTGCTCACCTTTATAGAAACAGGCGCCTTTCTCCTCGAGCCTCTGTACCACCACTACAACTTTCCAGAGGGACAGGAGAGTGTGGAAGTACCTTGGGCATTGTTAGTGTCACCCCAAAATGACATAGCTATCTACATCCTGTGAGACTGTACTCTCCGGGATGCGAGATTGGTTACCCCTCTTACTCCTGTCCACTTTGCAGTTCTTGAGACTCCACCTGTTACCGCAAATGCTCAGGCCCCAGAGTGCCCATGATTCTCTAAATCTACTCAAAGACCAGAAGTTTTTAATTCAGAGAAAACTCTCATTTCTCCCTTCCTTCCTTCCTTCCTTTCTTTCTTTCTTCTTTCTTTCTTTCTTTCTTTCTTTCTTTTCTCTCTCTTTCTTTCTTCTCTCTCTCTCTCTCTCTCTCTCTCTCTCTCTCTCTCTCTCTCTCTCTCTCTCTCTCTCTCTCTCTCTCTCTCTCTCTCTCTCTCTCTCTCTCTCTCTCTCTCTCTCTCTCTCTCTCTCTCTCTCTCTCTCTCTCTCTCTCTCTCTCTCTCTCTCTCTCTCTCTCTCTCTCTCTCTCTCTCTCTCTCTCTCTCTCTCTCTCTCTCTCTCTCTCTCTCTCTCTCTCTCTCTCTCTCTCTCTCTCTCTCTTTCTTTCTTTCTTTCTTTCTTTCACAACCAGGCATTTTCCCTTGGGGCTAAGGGGTTTCTCTGTCTTCCTACCCACAGTCCTATCTGGCTCAGAGCTCTTCATGTTAATTCTCCAGAGCCATGGGCACCAAGAGAGCACCTACATGAGGCACCTCCAGACATATAAGCCAAAGCTTCTCGATAGCCCTGTCTGTGCTGGGGGCTGAGAGCGTCCTAAGTCCCAGGAGGGAGGCTGGTGTCCT